CCCTGCGCGAGAGAGCTGCTGCTGCCGAGCGCGAACTCAGTATCCGTTGTGGAGATGAGTCCGATCGCTCCCGCTCGAGGAGTGCTTCCCGAGCAACCTCAAGGCCTCCGTTAGAGGAGTATCCAATTCAGCCAATTCAGCCTTAATCTAAACAACCTTGAGTAACCTGATAGCTTGGTTGACCAGAGCTGTATGTTTTGTTTTCATCTTTCATATATGGCAACATTGCATCTATCAAATAGGTTAGATTAAAATGTCGTGGCCTCAGTTTAATTCACCATATTAATTTCCTTCTCAGCTAGAAGATCGAATCCCCAAATCTTATACGTTGGCTCGCAAGAACCATCACTCTCTAGATATCATGAGTAGTCATCTGCTTGACACGTACAGTCGAAGCATGAGTTAAGAACTTGGAAACTTTGTAACTAGACTAAGCAACCGTTAGGCAAAATGAACAGGAAAGTTAGGCTAAACTCCCCAGTCCACAGAGTATCATTAGTACAATCGAACGAAGAACTCGATTTAAGCTGCGATGCGCGAATTTGACGTACGGGGACAAATAGGAATTCTCTGCGGGAATTAACACGCCTTCGGCCACAAATCGTATCCTTGTTACATCCAAGCGCGAAGCGCCCATCCAAGTGTAGTGCAAAGCCCATGCAACCAGAACCCTCTGCAAATGCGGCGGGCGGGAACTCCCGAACCGCTGATTTTCCTAATTGGGTGGTGGAACTTCCGCCATTGCAATTCTGCTTGCTGAAGTGCACGGCGTGGGGGAAAGCTTCCGGGGCGCCATTGGAATGTGGGAGTTTGTGTGCAACGGACGTTGGTTTGCGAGCGAATCTCCCGTCAAGCCTTTTGATAGGACAGGATGCAGTGGTCACTGATCAACAGCCCTCATTCAGAATCATGTCGTGCTCTGATATCTCTGATGAAACGCAGGCGAGTAAAATCTTAGTCATAGGACATGCTGAGAATTGTCGCAGGGACGCCGCATCGGCAAGGGGATGGTACAAGCGCCAGCGCCCTACAGATGATACATGGATGCACCTAGCTTCACAGTGGCAGAGCCTAGGCTTCACGCTTCCCAAGCCCGGTTGCTTCGCCGTGTGAAGGTCGTGGCAGGCTTCCCCTTGCGCCCCCTCACTCTTTGTTTCCTTCGGTGTCGAGCATGTTCCTGCAAGCGCTGCATTCAGCCAAGCTTCACGACTTGCAGTCACAGTCAGCTCTTAACCCACCAAAGCGTCCGAAAAGACCAGCTGCTCGGTGGCTTGCACAGGCCATCCCCGACCTCGTGCCCACCCAGGAGAGGTCTAGCACGACGGGCATGACGGGCCGGAATGTCAACTAGAAAGTTACAAAGATGTACAAAGCATGACTGATGATGATTGTCAGGCCGTCTCCTGGTGCTGTGCCTCTCAGGCCCGGTCTTCGCTTTTCAGCACTCCTAGGTCGCACGTCTTTTCAATGTGTTTTCACGTGTTTGCACATGTTTGCCTGGATGGCTTCGGAAAAAGGCAGGACGAATGCTTGCAGACCCCTTGTGTGCGCAAAGGTGATTCTCAGGGGTTGGAGGGGGCCATTTTTGCAGCCCGGGTTCAGTCACCTGAGAACACTCGAAGATATTTCAAGAACCCAAAAAGCATTGGAGTGCGGCCCTGTTTTGCAGAACCGTGTGTCCGACTGTGGCAAAACTGCCGATCCAATGGGGCATAGACATGTGAAATGTCAAGGGAACATGAGCGTAAGTGTCATGGCCAGCATGGATGCTCAGGGAATCAGATTGACATGAATGCAAGTGAGCCGTTGCAGAATGCAATGGCCTGAAATGCTACTGTACTCCAGAATTTATCACTGCTGGGATATGCCCCTCTTCGGAAGGCATTCTCCCATCTTTCCCTCGAAGGCCCGCTTTTGGCATGTTGCTACAGGTTTGCCACGATCCAGCTTGGCTGTGTGTGCAGAGGTCAAGCCTGCATGGCCAAGGCCAGCAAGGCGCTGCGGGTCAAGCCGAGATGCACCTGCAGATTGTCATCAGTTATAGTCAGTGTTGAACCAACACGCCGGGAACTTCACTTCATATGCCCATAGGCGGCGTAAAACCGGACAGGTGAAACCAGAAATGCATTCATCTGAAGCCTCCCTTGCACAAGAATCCCAGCACATCCATGGGTTCGAAAAGTGGCACTGCTCCTGCATTGTGAAAAAGAACAAGCGATAGACCCTGTCAACTTGCTGAATCTGTTCACTTGCTACTGTATTCAGCTTCATCTCTTCTACATAGCCGGATGCTGACATTTCGCTATTGCGTATAGCAAGCTGGTTCTGCAGAAGGCGCACCGCCTTCGTCAGCTGTGCCATGGCCTGAGCTGCAACTGCAAGAGCTGCTGCCTCTGGGCAACTGAGCAACTGGTGAGAAGTGATTAAACACAAAGGCTTGACCGTTTGACCCTGGTCGCAGACTTTGGAGTGTTGCGAAGAGGCCTCTGACGAGAACAGCCAGTTCCGGCCATACATGGAGGATGGCCACCAAGTCCTGCCCTTGGACAATGTCAGTTTCTTGCCATACTGAGAACATTTCTCAGGCAAAGCTGTTTCCAGTGTTTTGGGGGCCTGCCTCATGTACATAGACGTGTTTAGGAATGCGGAAGGCCCTTCCAGGAAGGCAAAAGGCCACGACTTTCAAGAGATTGCAGCGCCCATTTCTTCAGGTGGTGCAGCCCCTCCATCGCCATGGCCCAGAAAATGAGGACTGGTAAGTATAGTTCACCTTCGTACCGCCTAATTATGTGCCGTTCTTTCTCAGCCTAGAGTATTTTCTCAGCTTGAGTATTTTCGGCAGTTGTCAGTTTCATGGTTTCTTTGGTTCTCATGTGGATTTGCCGTGGAGGAGCTTTGGGAGTTCTTTGGCGTTTATGATGGCCATGGCGGGCGAGCTGAAGTGGATCATGTGGAGGCTTTGCAGGGAATTTCGAGAGGAGGCTGCTTGAACAAGGCAAGTGCCGTTTCCCAAGGCACACCTTCATGGTACTATCCGGACCGAGCTGCTCGCGGCAGGCGATGCCCCGACAGCGCTGGTGTCAGCGTTGCTAAGCTAAATGAGGCGTATTCAGATGCCTGCGCTATTTGAAGAACCACCCCGCAGCTGACTACAAAATTGCTTCCTCTGACCTGTTGCTAGCCAGTATCCCCAAGTCCGAAATGTGGAGGCTGTTTGCCAGTGTTAGAATGTCTGATAATGCACAGAACGGGATTCTGAATTTCAGGAACATGCAGCTGATCCATCATCAAGCTAATGCGTGCTTTGCAACTTGATCTCAAATCGACGGTCTACAAATGCTTGCTGCATTGCAAGGTTCAAGAAAGTGGACCGTCAGCTGGCCAAGATGGGGGCGAGATACCCGGAACGTGCATTTGTGATGTGCCTTGCTGGTTGCCTCCATTTGCCACGGTCCCTTGGCCTTGCTTTGCTTGGGAGGCATGGAACAGCGGTTGCACAGCAACCGTGGCGCTGGTGATCCAGCAGGCTATTGCCAACTATTGCAATTTTGTATAGATCATCGAGCAGTTTCTGTTAGATGCAGACTTGTGGGGATGTTGCTGATAGTGGCTGGGATTCATGAAGCATCAGACTCGTGTGGATTTGGGCTGGCAGGGCTGGAGCCGCATTGTGCATGTCGCCAATGTTGGTGATTCCAGAGCCGTGGCCGGACAGCATTGGCTTAAGTGCATGCTTCTGCAGTTTTGCGAAGCTTTGCAAGCGTTTTTCCGATCGCTATCCGGCTAGTCTGGGCAACCGATCTGTCTTCACTAATTAAGTCAAGCCAGGTAAGCTTGGCCACAAACAGGATGCGTGCATCCATCATATTCCAAAGCCCGCGAGAAATCACATCCTGACTTGCAAAATCATTCTTCAGAGCAAGTATTAAACCAAGCTGAGCAACGACATGTACGTAGCGTGCAGAAACAGTATGGTCTGCTTGCAACTTGTGAGGGCTTGATGCTGCTTTTCTTGTAGCAGCAAAATGCTGTCGGAGAAAGAGCACGAGAGTTTACCGGACAACCACACTCGTAAGTGGCTGTGAGCATGCGTTTCATACTATCACACTGTTCTTCTTCCTTCTTTGCTTCTTGCTGCTTGTCGTTGAGGTAGTTGTTACAGTGACAGCAATCCAGTCTTACGCCAGCCACCATTTGGTGCCATTCTTTTGTGCTGAACATGTGGCATACAGTCAGGGTCATTCTGGGAACTGAGTCATCTAACACTGCCGATCTGGCTAGCTAGCTACCTACCTATTACCCACCTGCTGCCTACCTACCGTCAGCTGCTGCTGGTTGCCTCGCCGCCAGCTGTTGCCACAGCCGCTGCAGTTTGCAGTTGCTCCTTCGATTGTGGCTTCCGCTCCTGTTGTTGTCCCAGGTTCTGGTGGCCCCATCCGGAGACAGTCGACGTGCCCCGTCCTCAGCAGCATCAGCCAGCCATGTCATGCCAGTATTGTGCGCGAGTTCAGATTCAGCGCGGTGACGAGATGTGTTTATGTACGCCATGGTTCAGATTGGTGTGGCTGAGGTCTCTAAAGATCATCGCGCTAGTGATCCAGATGAGGCTTCGGATGAGGGGTTCAAAGCTTGCGGCTAGATGGTGGGCTCCGTGGCAATTCTTCAGATATTTGAGGATATGCAACGTTCGCGAACTGGTGGACTGGCTTTCAAAACATGAGCATGGATGAATGTCCTCATGACAGCTCCAGGCCCGGCGCGTCTCGCAGGACTGCAAGTCCAAAAGCATTCCGCCAAGTAGCCATGGCAGGCATTGCTGTGCCAAGGCAGTCCCCGACAGCGCTGAGTAGGCAAAGCGCCGCATCCCGAGCCCAGCGCAGCAGCGCAGGAGGGCGGCTTCATCCGATTCGGGCGAGTTGGCGGCGCGCTGAGCGTCTCACGCTCGCTGGGCGACCACAACCTGAAGGCCAGGACATTGCAGGAGTTTGCCCAATGATCCGCCGGCCGGGTCTTGCACTTTTTCAAGAAGGCTTGGAGAAACTACCTGCGACCTCCAACGTAGCATAAATTTCTGCCCCACAATGGTTTCGATACGTTTTTCCGACAAATCGAGCGCAAAGTGTGAAACGAGCGTAAATCCGCGATGGCAGCCTTGATTTTGCCAAACGTGCGCTTCCTGAAAAATAATGCGTTGCGGAAAATGTTTGCACTCTACGCCGCAGCGAACGCGCAAAATAAGCTCAAAACGAGCGCAAATCCGCGCAAAAAAAGCGCAAAAGTGCAAACTCGAAAAAAGTACCGCAGTTATCCCTGAAGTGCAGCGCAGCAACATTGCCACGAGCACATTTTGCCGAAACGAGCGCAAAATGTCGATCGTAAAGGAAAACAGCATCCCGAGCAGAAAAAACACGAAGCACAAATTTGTGCTACATTGGAAGTTCCAGGTATTTAACAAGTATAGCAGTGTATGCAAGGAAGCTGCAACACATGCCCAGAGACATGGAGCTGTGTACTATAGTGTATACTGGTGTGGAACTGTCGTATGTGCAAGCTGATGATTTAACGGCCAAGATGTTGCCCAGGGTGCAGGCGTCAGCTGTGTTCCAGACGTTTGCAGCTTCTCAGTTAGCGCTGACAGCTCAGGTTCCCCTCTGCTGCCCTGGCGAAATAAAAGCCTGGAACGATGTGCCTCCCCTGAGCTTAGGAGGGAGAAGCCTTGCTGATGGCATCCGAACGAGCCTTGGGGATGCTGACTTTGCAGCAGGAAAAGTATTTTTCTGCCTGCCTGATGCACATGGCCCCTTCTGCAAAGGATGGTTTCTGGGACGCCCTTAGCGATGATGATGCTGGTGAGGCTGAGGGAGCAGTAGTGTGGTGGCTCTTGGCACGTGAATTTTCTGCGGAGGCTCTTCTGGGTATTGTCAAAGCTGCCATGGCAAGCGGCCAGGCAGGCCCCATGATTCTTAGGCTGAAGCATCCCTGACAAGATGTCTATGTGCGCAGAGGGAGCATATCCCTTGCAGCTGCTTGATGAAGCGGCGCACCAAAGAAGTTGCAAACACTGAAGCAGAAACCGCTCTTGCAAAACCGCCACAAAACGAAGCTGTGTTGAACGTATTGAACGGATTCTCAGGGTCTAGATGAGTGTTGAAGACAACAGACGGACGATTCTGCGATCTGCAAATCAGGAGCTACTAGAAGCGAAGCGTGGCCTGTGAACAAGCCATTTGACATCATCTGCAAAGCATTAGGACACATTAGGACCACCATGGACTACTCACACTTGATTAAGATGGAGCGTGGCTGTTGCGCAAGGTGGAGCACGTTTGCTTCAGCAGTCGAGAACATTCGAGAACCATGGAGGGCTCAGGCTCTACATGACATGCCAAGAATCCAAGAACTTGCGCACTGTGGCACCTTCTGGCTAGCTGTTCAGCATTGCGCCATGGCTGGTGCTTGTGACTGGCCGCTCGGTCATGGTATCTCAGCTGAAAACAGGAGAATCTCTGCAGAGTTGGGAATTGCTCCAGCTATGAGGTGTGAGCCGGCCGCGACTTGGCACGCGCTTGAACCCCACCCAAGCCCTTCTTTTACTGCATGTTTTGCAGGACAGCCTTTCTTCTCGGGTGGCTTTGGCGAGATCCCAATGGTGACCTCGCACCTGAGGAGCAACAGATATCTTGCTGCTGACCTTCAGGACTGTGCATAGAGGGAAGTGCGCCTGCAGGCTCTTCTGCAAAGGCTGCATCCCACGTTGCGAGCAGAGATCTTCAAGAGGCCCCAAGCTTTTCTTCAAGGTGCTCAAGTCCCACTAGATAGCTCGACTGGCATTGTGAGGCCCCGCTTGAAGAAATCTTTCGAGGATGACATCCAGGCTGTCTTCAATGCCTACAAGAACCAGGCTTCAGTCGACGAGTTTCGGGAACTAGTGGATGGGCGTCTCGGACGGGTTGCTCTGCACTCATTAGAACGCTCAAGGTGTTTCGTTGGCATGCTGTAAGGAATATCTCTGAGCTCAACCAGAGGATTGAAGCAAAAGGACCACGACACTTGTGCCCCTGCAGCACTGGTTCCAGAGTGGTTCCAGTCTCGAGGCATGAGAGGCATTTCCGGTTGTGGCCAGGCTTCTCACTAGCTCGAGAGATTTCGAGATACTTCAAGCACTTTCAGGGCGAGCTTGGGAACGGGCACGCAGACAGACCTGTAGGAGCGCACTTAGAACTCAATTGCTGTTGCCGTTGAAAGGGGCCGGCAGAAGCTTGGCATTGCGTGGCTAGGCAGCGGCAACAGCGCCAAGTGACAAGTTTTTATTTTGTGCCAAATGGAGGGTCTGAGATGAGATGACCAGGAATTGGCGAGAAAAGCAACGTGCCTCCAGACTCAAGCACGTTTGAGCTAACCAGCGGGTCTTTCTGGGTGGCATCATCGACAGCTAGCCCAATATCCTGCGTACTCACGAAGGTTCCTTTCATGGAGAAGGCTAGATCCTGGTCTGTGGATCCGTTTGGGGCCGTAGCTCGCCGGATCCTTTTTGGGGGGTCGTTTCGAGGGTGGGAGCGTACCGGGCCGGTTGGTGGTGTCATTGTGTCGGGGGGTCGAGAAGCGGGCGCGCATCCGCCCGCAACAGCCGTTCGCTTCGACCGCCTCTTCCGCCTCTTGTCCGTCCAAGCCCTCTGAGCTTTCCTCCCTGCATCTCCTGGGCCGCAGTTGCGAACACTCTTTTTTCGCTGGTAAACAGACAGGGAACCCGGATGAGTTGGTAGGTGGCAGATCCATTGCGAGCTGTTTCGAGCCTCGCAAAGATTAGGACTAGGAACTGTACGCGTGCACTTTAGAAGATCCTCGCAAAAGCAGCAAATCTCCTTTAGAGCAGTAACGACAGTGGCACAGAAAAGCATAAACAACCATAAAACATGTTCCGCTGTGCCGAAGGCGCGAATTGATGAAGCAGGCCAGGTTATACTCGCAGTGCAAGCCTTAGTTACCGGCTTCTGCAGAGCTGATACCGCTGATAGGGTGCATACACTGTGGTCAATTGCGCTCAGCACCTGGATGCACCTGTCACTGGAAGGTTTCATGGTGCTGTGCACCCTTTGCTCTTTGCGCCTCGTGCCGCGTGCTGCAGCTGGCTTATGCCATCGCACATCCAAGGCTTGAGCAGTTGCGCATCATGCGTTTGCAGCTATCGTTGCATGCGTTCAGGTTGTTGTTTTCCTGTATGGCAATATTGCACAAAAAGTCTCGGATAACATGCCAATGCTTGCTGAACAGAGAAGCTCCTGTTGTCGTGCAGGGGACAAGGCAGCTACGCGGAGAGCCCGCGGCGGTAACTTCCTCTAGCTTCCTCTAGCCAGACTTCAGTGGCGTTATGTTCTGGATTGAAGCGAGAATCGAAGCTGCCCAAAGAAGGCAAGCTGTCAGGCGAAGTTCATGCACCGGCGCGGGTGCTCAGTCCAAAGCCGGCTGAAGAAATGAACTTGCTTGAGACGGGAAAAAATGCGCTGCTTTCAGATCTGTCATGAGCCTTCCCAGGCTTTTGTGCATCCGTGCTTCTTGATGCGTCTTGTGTCTAGTTTTGCTTCTCATGGTTTGGTGCACTGCTGCAGGCAGCAGGTTGCAGCCCCATGGCATTGTAACGCCTACCGGAAACTGAACCTTCAAGAACAGTTCTCAGAGACAACAGCTTACATGTGGTCATTCAGGCTGCTTTCATCTACATGCAATTTGAGATGTGATTTGCCTACGGACAGCATCGGTGTCAATGTTTATATATCAGTAAGATACCTGTCACCAGTCTCGACGGTGAAGGGAGGATGAGGGAACAATGAACCAAAGGAAAGCTTTGACACTACCCCTTTGATGTGAGACACCGAGACATCTTGCTGTCCAGCATCGCGCCTGACGGCAGGCTGTGACGGAGTACTTGCGGGAAAACACTGCGAAGTCTCTCGTCCAGAGCGCGAAGGACAGGGTAGCAACAGGGTAGAACACACCAGCATCCTTCAGCCCCTTTCACCGGAGCTCTGTATTATTTCATTGTTTTGCCTCAGCATCAACAAGAGGAGCGTGGGTCGAGGGACAACATCCTCGTGATTGCCATTTTCTTTTAAAGTGCCTGGGAAGAGGCGGCATGCCGGGCATCCTTCTCAGAGATTCCAGCCTTGTGGAAGTTAGAGCTGGATACCGGGATGATCTCGCAGGAAGCGTTAGTAATCCAAGGCTGCGCCTGCAGATTCCGCACTGCCCAGGTTTCAAGACACCTCAGAATTGAGCGCCAAAGCGTCCCCAGTATTCTTCCTTCACGTCTACTATCTCCCGCTTCATCACGTACCAGTGGTCGAACTTGTCCGATCGGGTTGCAGTCAGGCTGGAGGCATTTTTGAACAGCGTCCTGCATTTGATATTAACAGTGTGCTATATGGTGCTGTTGAGTAACACGGCCACAGGAAGCATTTGTCCTTGCTTTTTGTTGATTTGCCGCATTGAAATCTCTTTTCTCGCATTTCTCATGAAGGCTCTGAGGTTGTCAGCGCAGACATACACATCGCGTGTCGTGCAAGGAGATGCCAAGCTTCCCGACTCACGAAAGAACCTCTGATACTTCCCAAGAACCTTTAGCTTTAGGAGCTGTAAATAAGAGGTGGCCTGCCAAAATTTGACAAAGCTAATTGACACGGGCTTGTCTGCGAGCATTGGGGCAACTGGGCCCTCCTAGCAAGTTTGAAGTTCAAGCATCATGGCAGCTTGCACAAGTGGATCATGAAGAGGTCCAGCATTTCCAGAGTAGAACGGGCTCATAATCTTCAAGCATCGGCGGCGTTGCTTTGCATATCTTTGCAGAGCAGTGCGCAGTATGGGCCCTAAAGGGGAGATTGGCCATCGCTACGCAGGTCTGCATGCTTTTAGGTGCTAACATTTTCATGCCGCCCGAATTTGCTAATGGTCAAAAGTTGAGGCCTTCAAACAATTTGAACTTATTGGAAAGCATCCTCCCCGGCCGCGCCCAACGCTGCCGTGGAGGGTTCAGATGTTGAACGGTCTTTTCGTGCCAGACCATTTTTTTCGCAAAAACGTGTGGAGTGTGTGATCTCATGTGAGAAGACGCGGTCTTTTAATCTTTTTCACCATTGGGCGCATTCAGGGTCCACGCGTTCAAGCGTGTGGTGTTTGAGCATGCGGTGGCTCAAGACAGTAATTTTTGTTGGTCCCCGCTGACGTGGCCGTTGCTACAGTAAAACAATCAAGCGACTGCAATAGGTGCACCTATTGTAGCAGCTTTTTGGCGGATGCTTTGGGCTGCATGACTGCGCCGTGCCCTAAAGGGCATTGTGCAAATCTACAGTTTAAGAGAGAGTGTCCTCTGCAGGCGTGCATGAAGAGCATGCTGCGCTAGACTGCAACACGTAGCTCGTTAACGCAAGGGCAAGTCAGCCTGCTGTTTGCCCAGTAAATAACTTGACCAGCAGCCCCAGGAAAAGAGGGGTTTCGACTAGTGTGTTGACGTTCGCATGCGTAAAATCTTGCATCATCTCGCGCAATCCTACTGCAGTAAGTGGCTGTCTTTGGTTAATATGGCGGTGCCATCTCGGGCAGCAAGGCCAGGAAGGGCTCTGTGGGTGGCTTGCGTTTTTCTCCCACGGCCCCCAGCAATCAGTACATCCTTGCCGACACGGTGGTTTGTTCTACGGACTCTCTGCTTTATCCTCTGTACGATGCCAAGGAGCTATACTGTGGATGGTCTGTTTGCTGGTGCTCCAGGCATACACTCTGACGCAGAAATAAAAGTTGGACAGCCTTCTGAGCTGAGCTGTTGCTGTCAATGCTCCAGATGCATGCTGCACTGATTTGAACATTGGGAGGGTGCAATCTCATGAAATGCCTACGTAGTATGATAAGATATGATGAGCCTGGTTATGTCTCTGCAGTCTCTATAGCAGTATGCATCTGCCTTTTGTTCTTCTCCCAATCTGCCCCAAAGCACACAAGAGCAAGCTTTTTCATGATGAGTAGTTTCCTCGAGCAAGTTCTTGCATTTTTGCGTTGGTGTCCATCTTCCAGATCTAAGGCGCAAAGCTCAAAACTAGATGAGGGACAGAGATTTCTTTCTGTTTATCATGTGCGCGACTTGCCATTAGCGCAGGCAATACTGCTGGGCGTCTGTTTGACGCAATGGTGAGGGGGCATCTTGTCTGCATCTTGATGGCACTTGCTGCTGATCTGAATGCATCAGATTGGCGTGGAAGGTGCATCCCTGTCCTGATGTTTCATCCTGACTCCTATCCAGTGTGCGGCCAAGGCAAATGATGCCGTCCCTCGAGTTGTAGTGCTGTAGCTTTTGCGCTGTCCTTGAGGTCCTTCCCTTTGTCGCGAGAATACCGTGGCATGAATTTGCATTCGTACCGGTCTCAGAAGATGTCTTAGACAGGTTTTATTCTATGGTCTCGCAGGTTTGAGGATCTCGCTTGCTTCAGCCTCCCCTCCCTGATTTTTTAAATAGCCGGTAGCCGTGTTGGAAGTTCACAACAGAATGGCTTCTGCAAAAGTTCCGTAGCCACGGAGAGGTCCATTATACCTATCGAGACCCCCGCCCGTAGACCGAAAAAGACAAAAGACAGGTTCACAAGACTCAGTAGCTACAAAGGCTTCAAGCCGACCGTAACCTATGTTACGCCACGCTATAAACATCTATAACCTTCCTTGGTAATTGATCATCAACTTGAGCAGCAAACTATACTTTGCTGGCGACGCCTCTCAGCCCTTGTTCCTGTAGACCTTACGATTAGTACTCTCAACCTCTGCTCAGTATACCGCTAAAGAGATTGCCCTGCTAAGGTCTTCTCCATTGAAAGCGAGGTCTGCAGCCTTTACAGCACTCTTGCATAATTCTTATAATTCTGCTTTGTTTGGCGCCAATGGGATTCAGATTCCGGAATACCTGCGATCGTGTTACGCAGACATTGCCCATTTGACTAGCACATTGATTTGTTGCTTTGTGCGGTCAGAGGCCTCTAGGGCTCTAGGGTCTGAAGTCGGTTGCGTGTTGGGGAAAGCTTTATTGTTTGCGAGGATGATGCTGCTGCAGCGTTGCACTTGCTTCTCGCAAGCTCCGAAGAAGAGCGGCTGATGCGGCGGCAGAGGCCATTGGGGTGGTGACTTATGTTGTGTAACGTTGATTTCAGAAGCTTAAATGTGTGGATGAGGGCGTAGGTTTGATGAAGCCTTACCTAATGAGAATCTAGCCACCTAGCCTCTTCGTGTTTGCAGGGTCCTTTCGCAGGACTTTGAAGTACGCTCCAATGGTGTCTCTGGCGCTGCAGAATTGTCCACAAGAGGTAGGCCCCAGACTCTCAGCTTCATTTCCCATGCTGGACATGAGAGATGGAATCTTTCGCAGAACTCCTCCGCCTTAGACCTGGTGTCGCGTGAGCTGGAGGACAAGGCACGCTGGCCAGAAAAGCATTTCCAGTAGTGTTCTAGTTGCTGTGCCTGCTCGGCAGAAAGTATGTCCTCTGAGCTGGCCAGGTTGCTCTGGTCAAGTTGGCCTTAGCAGGTCGCGGTCGCTTGCATATTTCACATCCAGTCAGTTTGCAGCAGGCAAGTTCCTAAGCCTTGGAACTCCACCTTCTAGGGACCTGAGTCCTGCTAGGTTGACTTGTCCCGCCAGCTCTTGAGCATTTTGTTTGCCAGGTCTCCACGTAGCTGCACTGCCTTCAGATGAGCATCTCTCTCAGACCATAAACGTCGCCCTTGCTGAACAAAAAAAGATTCCACGCAGCCTGCTCAGGAAGCATTGGCTGCACTGGGGCCCGTCCCCGACCTGAAGGCTCAGCGGATTGCTTTTGAAGAGCCGCGCTATTCGTGATTCGCAGCCCGCTGGCCAGGACCTTTGGAAAACACGGTCACCAGCATTCAAGGGGCAGCCAGTTGCTGCGTGTATCTTGGCAAATTACAATTGTTAACTAAGCCAAGTTAGGTCAGAAATTAGGGAGGTTAAAGAAGCGAGGTAAACCAATTAGCACGACATGAGGTGGTAAAGGGTATCCCAGAAATCAAGCGACTTCCGCCTGGGCCAGGCTTACGCCGAGAGACCATGTTGGCACATGTTTGCTCATCACACGGCTTGTTTAAACACTTTGGAAACCTGAGGCCAAGGAGGGCCTTGGCCAGGATTCTGTGAAGAAGGCTTCGCCACGATTTCGCCACAAAATCTTCGGCGGCGCTTCCTCGAAGCTTGCGCAGAAATCGCAAACATCCACTTCCGCATGAGTCTTTTAAGCTTGAAGTTGCTCCTCCTGCATGCATGGAAGCTCTGCCCCGGTCTCAAGGAATAAGGACTCGCTGATCACCTCATATGCTGTTTCTTGAACCCTTTCTGAAAATCCAGGTACCTTCCGCAGAGCTTCCGCATCCTTCGCACATAATGTCCACTTGATATTGAGAAACCCCGCCTCGGGCATGTGATTGTGCCTGTCTCATTTCCCCTGCCAGTGACAAACCGCTGCTCAGGGAGATGAGGTGGGAGGTACGGGAGGTGGGAGATGTGGAAGTGGTGCTGGTGCTGGTGGTGGGGGTGGGGGTGGGGTGAAATAACTACAGTCCTGTTGCTTTCCTATCAGTCCATGTACAGTTCATGTGACACAACTGCATTGCATGTTGCTGTTGCCGCTCTCAAGGTTCTAGGAGTTGATACTCGAGTGCGCATAGAGTGGAAAAGGACAGAGACGCCCGCTCGCCTGTCTACTGTTCATAGAGGAGCTCTCAAGTACCCAGTGTATCCCCGAAAGGCGCTGACCACTCGGCGGTACCCTGAGTACCCTGCGGGAGGGGGCTCGAAAGAGAGAGCTCCCGCCTTAGAAGCCATGGCAGATGATTTTTACACAGATATGCGTGATGAAGAC